GAGCCTCCACCACACTCCGGGCAGAGAGTTCCACTACTGAACGGCTCTCACAGTCAGGAAGTCCTTCCTATGTTTATTTATTTATTACATACATTTCTATCCCGCCCTTCTCCCCACAAGGGGACTCAGGGCGGCCTTACATAAGCATCCGATGATGCTATCAACATATACACCAATATTACAATTAAAACAATACAATCAATTTAAAACATTATACAGATTCAACAAATAAATTCATTAACAATAAATTAATGTGCCAATAAACCAAAGCCAAACTGGGAGATGTTCAGATGGAATCTCCTTTCTTGTAGTTTGAAGCCATTGTTCTGTGTCCTGGTCTCCAGGGCAAAAAACAAGCTTGCTCCCTCCTCCCTATGACTTCCTCTCACGTATTTATACACGGCTATCATGTCTCCTCTCAGCCTTCTCTTCTTCAGGCTAAACATGCCCAGCTCCTTAAGCCGCTCCTCATAGGGCTTGTTCTCCATACCCTTGATCATTTTAGTTGCCCTCCTCTGGACATATTCCAGCTTGTCAATATCTCTCTTCAATTTTGGTGCCCAAAATTGGACACAGTATTCCAGGTGTGGTCTAACCAAGGCAGAACAGAGGGGTAGCATGACTTCCCTGAATCTAGACATTATACTCCTTTTGATGCAGGACAAAATCCCATTGGCTTCTATGATTTTTTCATGAAGTGCTTTTACCATTGGCAGCAGCAATGGCAAAAAAAGTGGTGGCATGCTTTTTTTTTTACCCAAAGTATATTTTACATAAAATATCTTTGATTTTTTTCACAAAAAGCTTTCATGAAATTTTCAGCAAAGTCTAAATGTGTGAAAACCCATTTTAAAAAGCGCTAACTTTTATCATCCCTGCAAAAAGGAAGAAAATTTGTCAATTGCCCATTTTTATGCGTAAGAACGAGAGAGCCCCTTGTTTTAGCAAATTGATTAACATATGCAGATTTCATAAAAATCAGCATTCTACTTTATCGAAGGTTGATGTATTTGCTTTTCTTTGACATGGTTATCTTTATAGCATTTTTGTGAGCTCCATGAACTAGACATGAATCTTAAAGGGAAAGGAGGAGCTCTAAGAATGTGTAATGACCAACACAAACTAAACAATGGACCTCATCAGATAAAGGTTGCCCTCCGTTTTTACACACTTATGATGGAATCTCACAGATCACATAAAAAAACACACCATCTGTTCCATGGGTTGTCCATGGGACTCCGTCTCTGTAGCATGTAGAAATGGATGAATTTTAAAGACGGCACAAAATTGACTCTGGTCATCTCCCTGCACTTAGAAATGCTTAGAAAAAGGTTTTTTTCTGTGGGATGGGAAATGATCAATTTGCCTACTATAGTTTAAAGCAGGGGTCCTCAAACTATGGCCCGGGGGCCGAATACGGCCCTTTAAGGTCATTTACCTGGCCCTCGCTCAGAGTCAACCTAAGTCTGAAATGACTTGAAAGCACACAACCACAACAACAATCCTATCTCATCAGCCAAAAGCAGGCCCATACTTCCCATTGAAATACTAATAAGTTTATATTTGCTAAAATTGTTCTTCATTTTAATTATTGTATTGTTTTTAAGTGTTTTTTAAGTACAAATAAGATATGTGCAGTGTGCATAGGAATTCATTCATGATTTTTTCAAATTATAATCCGGCCCTCCAACAGTTTGAGGAACTCTGACCTGGCCCTCTGCTTAAAAAGTTTGTGGATCCCTGGTTTAAAGCAATCCATATGACAATTTAAAGCCTAAAGAAAAACATTCCCTTGGGAGTAAGCATAATTTCAATTTTGTTTTGTAAAGGAAATAATATAAAGTAAAAATATAAAATGAAAATAATCACTATCTACATGCCTATTTAACCACCTCCTGAAACTCTGCCTTTTCTGACATTTTCAGGAAAAAAAATAGAAAAAATGGAAAAGAGACAATTTTGTGTCTTTCTATGAAGACAGCATTCTAAGGGCAAAGATCAAAACTGAAGCTCCCTCTACTAATAAAGAGGATACAGGTCATTCATTTCTTTTATTTTAGCTATATCTTAACCACTTGTCATGAAGCCTGCTTTTATCCATTAGGGCCTATTCCCTGTGTTTCTTTGTATTGTGAAATGCTGAGAAATTGCTTTTATTTGTACACATAAGGGACCATCTAGAGAACTTGGAAAGTTACTTAGCGCAGTTTGTCCCTAGCAGCCATTCAGGAAAAGGCAATTCACTGGTGTTGCTGACGGCAGTGCTTAAAAGCTACATTGTGATGTTCATAACTTTTTATTACACACACACACATATACACTCCTATCAAAATGACCCCCGAGACACCCCTTAAAAGTTAACTTTTAGAAGTGTTTAGAAAGCCTTGAGCTATTGCTTCAAATAAAGTAACTTCATTTGGACATGTTGGCTGGAGATTTCTGACATGTAGTTTTTTAAACAAGCAACATTTCCAAGGTTTGCTTACTTCCTGACCCATTTTCCTGGATGTCAGTGGATTTTTTGCCAGTATATTCAAAGGTTTCGCAATGTTTGACTAGGAACCAAAGAGAGACTAATTGCCTCAATTGTATGAATGGTTCACTGAATTTTCTTTTCATTTGGAATTCCCCTCTTGTAGAGTTGGTATTGCTTTTTGCATCACTGTGCTTCCTTCCTGAATGGAAAAGAAATGGTGCTAAAAGCAGTTTATTAAAAATGTCACATATAGTCCTAGTTATTGTACTGTGCATCCAAGGCTGTATCTACACTGCCCTATATCCCAGGATCTGATCCCAGATTATCTGCTTTAAACGAGTCTACACTGACAGATAATCTGGGATAAGCAGATAATCCAGAATCAGATCCTGGGATATAGGGCAGTGTAGAAAGGGGCCTAAGTCATTTCTAGCTTTTGGAGACCTTGAAGTGACCCTATCCTGGGATTTTCTTGGTAAAATATATTTGGAAAGGGGGTTGCCTTTGCCTTCCTGTGAAGCTGAGAGAATGCAACCTGTCCAAGGTAACCCAGTGAGTTTCCACAGCCAAATAGGTATTCAAACCCTGGATTCCCAGTGTCTTAGTCTAGCTACTACACCACTCTCAAGCTTATAAGACTGGAAAGAGAATGTGCGTAGTTCACATTGAGAATGAAATATTGGTTTCTCAAAACCAGTTAGGAAGAATATTATAGGCAAGAATTTGGTGCAATTTTTATCCAATATTCACACAACTTGATATGCTTCAGGAAATTATTCTGTACAGAAATAACTGGGGGTGGAGTAGTTTGAAAAAATTGTTTTTGCGTAACCACCCACTATTGCAAAATATTATATCATTTACTCGAGTCTAATGCTCACATTTTTTGACCAAATTACAATGCCAAAATTGAGGAGTGCATTACATTTTATCGTGCGTTAGACTTGACTAAATACAGGAACTTTTGTGAATTTTTATTTATTTATTTATTTATTTGCCGTATTTGTATACCACCCTTCTCAGCCCTCAGGTGACTCAAGGCGGTTTACAGAGGCAACAACTCAATGCCCAATAAAACCATAAAACATTTTAAAACATTAGCATATAATATTAAACCATAACAAGAGCAATAAAAACATACATCATTTGCATCTCCTAATTAAAAACATTTTATGTTTTATTCAAGACATATGTTCAGAGTAGGTTTGCTTCTGAAGCTGAGGGAGTACCCAAGGTCACCCAGTGGTTTCCATATCCAAGCAAGGTGTTGGAATCACAGACACCTTAAAGGGCCAGACTCAAAAGTGGCTACAAAGCAGAGTTTATTACAAACAAAGCGCTCTGAGGCAACACAAAGAGGCACAGTACACAACCAGTTAACAAAAAGGAGGGGCGGCAGGAAGAGAAGCATCGACAAACGAAGTCCAGGGTCGAAGTGAGAGAAATCTGAAAAAGCACTGCTCCGGTGTCCGTAGAAGTAGCATCTATAGCCAAACCGGTCCAGGTACAGGAAGGGAGAAGTCCACATTCACGAGAAGCCAATCCGGGTCAATAACACACAAGTGATCAAGAGATCCAACCTGCAGATTCCAAACCAAAGCTGAACACGAACCAGAAAGCAACAAGTCTACAAGAACACAGCACCCAACACACGAATGCTCACCAACACCTTGCCTTCTGCAAGGACCCATCACCCCTGAACCCACTTTTATTTACAAATCATCAGCAGAAGATGAACTGACCACTGCCCCATCATTATCCCCTGCAGCTGCTCCCAGCTCTTCACATGAATTCCCTTGTCCTTCCCTCCAATTCATCCCCAGAGAACCCCATAAAGGCATCACTAGTTGTTGGCTCCTCACAAATAGCTTGCACTTCTCTTATCTTAGTCCAATCCATGGTGTCTCCTTCTTCTCCTTCACTCATTGACCCATCATCCCCAAAGAATCCCTCAAACGACTCCTCATCTGTAGGTGCTGTAAATATGTCCCAGATCTTGTTTCTCTGCTGCTCATCATCGGATTCTTGCTCCTGAGTAATGCTTTTTACTCTTCTGGCACCCACACTGTTGTTTGTAACGTTACTCACAGGCTCTACTACAACACAAGGACTTGAACTCTGGACTTCAGAGTGATAGTAAAATTACACACTGGCCCTCATAGTCCTAGACCAGTGGTTCTCAACCTATGGGTCCCCAGATGTTTTGGCCTTCAACTCCCAGAATTCCTAACTGCTGGTAAACTGGGATTTCTGGAAGTTGTAAGCCAAAACATCTGGGGACCCACAGGTTGAGAATCATTGTCCTAGACCAAATGTTCTTAAACTGGGGTCCCGTAACTGAATCTGGAGATTTCAACTGGTATCTCCCTCCACAATTCTGCTTTTCTCTTTTTAAAATAGCACGTACACATTCATACACATATGCCAGTATTATTTTAAAGAAATAGTGCAAAAGTAATCTGAACTGATGCTCTTACGTCCTTTTCAAATTACGTTCAAGGACACATTGTAAAATAAGAGCCACTCTTAGTACAATTCATAGCTTTATTGGTTACAAACAAGCAAGAAATGGACAGTTATGTCAATGAAGTCAAATAAAGTGATGTCACATCCATTCGGTCTAATAGTTACATAGCCATATGTACAAGTGGTCCCCCAAAACAGGTGTCTTGCAAGTTCTATGAGGCCCCTGCAGTTCTCAAACAAGGGGCTTGAATTCTCCTTCCTGAGACTGGGAGATGGAAATACTTCCCTTGCAATAGATGGAGGTTATCCATTTAGTAGAAGTGTTTTAGAAGCTGTAGAGGTGCTCACAAGCTAAGAGGGGCTTTAATCTCTCTTCTCTTCTAAGCCAAGTTTAAGAATGGGAACATATTGGTATTTTCAGGAGGAAGCAACCTTATCAGTGCCAAAACCATTTTAGCTAAACACCAGTTGCACATCTGTTTACAGCTATGCTATCATCTCTGTGTCTTATCTTGGGGCCACCATATAGAGCAGGAGTCCCCAAACTAAGGCCCGTGGACCAAATGTGGCCTTCCAAGGTCATTTACATGGCCCATCCTAAACATTAGACCCAGGGCTGTTCCACACAGCTATATAACCCAGAATACCAAGGCATAAAATCTCACAACATCTGCTTTGAACTGGGTTATCTGAGTCCACACTGCCATATATTCCAGTTCAAAGCAAATAATGTGGGATTTTATTCAGTTGTGTGGAAGTGGCCCCAAGGTCGCATTAAGTCTGAAACTACTTGAAGCCATACAGCAACAACAACAATCCTAATTAACTTGACTATCTTATCAGCCAAAAGCAGGCTCACCCTTCTCGTTGAAATATTGGTATGTTTATGTTGGTTAAAATTTTTCTTCATCTTACAATTTACACAATAAACCAAGCAGATTAAAACAGGCCAGTGATACATATACATTGAGCCTTAAAACAAGATAATATGTGTGATACATACCATACAATAGTATATGATAGATAAGAAGCCCAATAACTATACTCATCATCAACGCAACCCATGACAGTCCCATCCCACAAAGAGCATAAGGTGCACATACAATTAAATCATCCAATAGTTTAAGAACTTCCAGAATCAGGAAAGAAAGAATGAGATTGAGGTCCCTTCTACACTGTCCCTATATCCCAGGATATGATCCCAGGGTATCTTCTTATCCCAGATTATCTCATATAATCCAATTTAAATCAGATAATCTAAAATCAGATCCTGGGATATAGAACTGTGTAGAAGGGGCCTGAGAAACAAAAGATATTTATTTGCATAGTGGAGGATTAAATGAAGGATGCCTTGCTAGGAATGTACTTTGTGAGGCTTTTGGGTTCACGGTCTAAGGTTCAAGTTCTGGAATCCTATATGGATTCTAGGTGATGGAAATAGCATGAAGTCAAAGCTAAGCAAATTCTGGGTGCTGCAACTTCTGGGAGAAGAAGAGGGTGAGAAAAATGATGATTTCAGGGAGAAGAGAAGAGTCTTCCAGCAATTTGTTGACCGGTACTGTGACAATAGGAGAGGAAGAATGTGACAACAGGAGAAGGAGGAATGATAGTGAATGCCTTTTCTCTTTACCTACCCACACTCAAGCTTAGGTGCTTTGTGCATTTTGCCTGAGTTTTTCTTGTCTTCCAACACTGAAGAAGCCAGGTGCCATCCTTTAAAGACAAGGGTGAATGTGAGAAGAAAAAAGGGGTTAATCAATTCCTGTGGCTGTGCTGCTTTCCACTGGGGCCCCTTCCACACAGCTGAATACAATCCCAAATTTTCTGCTTTGAACTGGAATATATGGCTGTGTGGACTCAGATAGCCCAGTTCAAAGCAGATATTGTAGGATTTTCTGCCTTGATATTCTGAGTTATATGGCTGTGCAGAAGGCCCACAGGCCCCTTTTGCACTGCCATACAAAATCTAGATTATCTGCTTTGAACTGGATTATATAGCAGTGTAGACACATATAATCCAGTTTAAATTGGATAATGTGTATTATCTGCTTTGATAATCTGGATTATATGGCTGTGTAGAAGATGCCCTGAACTCTTGCTTGACAAGCAAACATTTGTTTGGATTGTTCATGCTATTCATCATGCACTGAAAACCCTATTTTACTGATGGGTAAGCGAATTAATTCTAAATAGCTGTAGGGCTTTTCTCATCAACTGCATCACTGGAAACTCCTCCGGAATTCTGTAGGAAAGAAGAGAATTGAGAGTTTTTATACACAGCAATTGGTCCTCCAACAATATTTATCTGAAACTTTGCTAAAGCTTTCTATTTATGGAAAGATTACCTCAATGCAGCAGGAGCGTTCGCAGAGAGGGCTCCCTCAAGAAACTTGCTTAGTTTGATGACCTGCAGGAAATGAGATTTGAGGGTTTTGACACACAGCAACTGGTTTCCCACCCAATAATATTTATCTGAAATTTTGAAAAGCTTGGGGATCTCCAGTGAATATGTATTCCTACATACCTGGCCACTTTCAGGATGCCCGTAACGTAGGTCGGTAGCAAAATGTTCACAGTTCATTTTCAACAGATTGTAGTCTACCTTTTCTCCAACCATTTCAAGTGCAGCTATAACTATTTCCCACATGGGTTTGGGGTTATGTTTTTTGTCAAGCTTATTGTTGACTCGCCATTTATTTTGCCCGGAGGCTTCTGAAAGCAGCTGCCACTTCACTACGGCCTTTCGTGTTCCGACAGACAGAGAAAGAGGTGGATTTTCAAGAACCTCATCTAAGAACAAGGAAAACAAACACAGAAATTGTAGTTCTTAGTTCATAATATTCTGTGTTTCATTAATAATATAACTCAACTAGACACTTATTTTATATCCCACCTACCCCCAGCCCCCCATAAACATCTATACTGAAAAAATAAATAGTGTGAACATTATGGTGAGTGTCACAGAAACTAAAAGGAGATGCTTGGTAAGATCACCGACGGCCCATCAACATGGCCCGCAAAATCCATTGCTACTATGGACCAGTCCTAGGGCACTTCCAGACATACGTTAAACTTGCTTTGAAGCGGATTTAAATGCCCACATCCTGGCTTTGCCTGTTGACTGTTCCCGTGCCACCCTGAAAACTTTTGGGCCACCCAAAACAACCATCACCCTTATCTTGGCTGTTTGCCAATGACAGGAAAGGCACCTACACAACTTGGGGGGGGGGAGGGGGGAGGGGAATCCTCTTCTCCCTACAACCTTTTTTCATTCTTCCAGTCTTACCATCTGAAACCAGATGCACCACATATCCATCATCAACATAGACAGCCCAATGTTGGTAAAGATCTCGGTCAATCTCAATCAGGTCTCCTGGTTTTGGCTCCTGCAGAAAGAAAATGAGACAAGAAATAACCTTAGATGGGAAGCTGTAATTCTATAGCACATACATTCCAGGAGTTATTTCTTTAACACAGTTGTTTTGAGAATTGGCGGGTCATACTGTTTTGACCACATTGATGTGAGGGTTGGGAGAGAGGTGGGCAAAGTGGGAGGGAAAGCAGCCAACGAATGCCCCTTCACTCACTGGAGGATCGCACAGAGGAGCTCTTTCCTTGTCCTCTCTGCTGGATTTCTTTATAGCAGCGTTTCTCAACGTGGGGGTCAGAACCCCTGCGAGGGGATGTCAGAGGGGTTGCCAAAAACCATCAGAAAACACAGTATTTTCTGTTGGTCATGGGGGTTCTGTGTGAGAAGTTTGGCCCTATTCTATTGTTGGTGGGGTTCAGAATGCTCTTTGATTGTTGGTGAACTATAAATCCCAGCAACTACAACACCCAAATGTCAAGGACTATTTTCCCCAAACTCATATTCTGGCCTTTTGGCTATTTGTGCCAATTTTTGTCCAGTGAATGAAAATACATCCTGCATATCAGATATTTAGCAGTCATGCCAAGTTTGGTCCAGATCCATCATTGTTTAAGTCCACGGTGCTCTCTGGATGTAGGTGAACTACAACTCCAAAACTCAAGGTCAATGTCCATCAAACCCTTCCAGTATTTTCTGTTGGTCACGGGAGGTCTGTGGGCCAAGTTTGGTTCAATTCCATCATTGGTGGAGCCCAGAATGCTCTTTTATTGTAGGTGAACTATAAATCCCAGCAACTACAACTCCCAAATGACAAATCAGTTCCCCCAACCCCACCAGTATTCAAATTCTGGAATTTTGGGTATTTGTGCCAATATTTGGGTATATTGTGTTGTAGTTGCTGGGATTTATAGTTCACCAACAATCAAAGAGCGTTCTGAACCCCACCAACAATAGAATTTTGTCCAGTGAATGAAAATACATCCTGCATATTGGATATTTACATTACAATTCATAACAGTTGCAATATTACAATTATGAAGTAGCAACGAAAGTAATCTTTTGGTTGGGGGTCACCACAACATAAACTGTATTAAGGGGTAATGGCATGAGGAAGGTTGAAAAGTAATGCTTATAACACTTCAACTGGCTCCTGCCTCTCCTTCCTTGCATATGCTCAGGGCTTCCCCTTCCTACTCCCTCTTTTCCACACATTTACAGTGCTCTCCTGCTTTACCTCCTCTCTTTTGGCATTGCCCTCTTTCCTTTAAACAATTAGTATTTCCAAAAAAAATCTGTTTAATTTCTCCTCCCCCTGCTATGCACACAACTGCTCTCCCAGCAGCAAAAACCGCATCTGATGCCAGTAACAGCCCCTTGCAGTTCTTCCCTTTGTATGCTATGGCATGCTTTGATTTGTGAAGGCAAATATGGGTTAAATTTGCAGTTCTAACTGCTGAGACACACATTGCCTGCTGCTATGCTTTTTCACAGAGCAGCCACCCTTCTCTGCTACTTCTCCTTCTGCAGTCCCTAGGCAACATCAGGGGCAAGGAACAGTGTTGTGTACATGCCAAATTCACCAACACAAACATAAAACAAGAGTTATATTTATAAAGAACTTGCATAATTACCACATTTTCCTCAGCCATGTCCTTGCTCCTTGGGATCTTAGCTGCCTCTGAGTTACTTTCATTTTCCTTTTCCAAATATAAACCCCTGTGGACCTTCTAGGTATGGTGCTGTTTTTGTTTTTTTCAGTTTCAGGGGATGAGCTTCTGAAGAGGACAAAACTACATTTCCATTTTAGTTGAAGGATAATCGACAGACTTGGCAAAGGTATTACCCACTATGCTCAATAAATGTGACTTTCAAACTGTTGTTGTTGTTGTGTATAGTTTATTTATAACTGGTTGCATTTTCTTCTGTTTCCCATTTTTCTCTTGTATATTTGATCAAGGTTAATGTAATTTGTTTAGTCTTGTAAACTGTAAAGATAAAATAAAGGTAAAAGTTTCCCTTGACATTAAGTGTAGTTGTGTCTGACTCTGTGGGTTGGTGCTTATCTCCATTTCTAAGCTGAAGAGCTGGTGTTGTCCGTAGACACTTCCAGGGTCATGTAGCCGGTATGACTGTATGGAGCGCCGTTACCTTCCCATCAGAGCTGTACCTATTGATCTACTTACATTTGCATGTTTTTGAACTGCTAGGTTGGCACAAGCTGGGGCTAACAGTGGGAGCTTACCCTTGTTGGGAATCAGGAGCTGTTAGGCTCAAAAATAACCCTCTCTGGGGGTGATTCCACCAAAAATATAGCAGAGTGCAGGATGCACAGTTCATAAGCAGCAGAAACTTACATGTAGTGAGCAAGGATTGGCTTCCATTCAACAGGATGGAACAGAATTGCAGATCCACAACTCATAGGATCAAAAAATAATATGTTTATTAAAGATAAAAGAAATCCATTCTAGATAGGAAAGGTTCTTGGAGCTAACTAGCTTCACTGAGCTATCTTCTAAGGAAAAGGAAAAATAATAAAATATGTGCTACATCTTGCCTTAGACAATGGCAACATGCTTCCTCACTCTGGAGAAGACAAAAGAGGCCGGAAAATGGAGACAGGCCACATGGCCAGCCCAGGGCAATAAAAATACCTTTTAAAAGAGGAAGTTAAGTTTCCCTGAAGAGATCACATTCCTAAGTATTCAAAGGGGGAGGAGACAGTGCCATGCAAAGATGAGTAAGGCAACCCCATTCTTAACCCCTTCTTAAAATCAACTAGCTAGAGGAAATTGGGGAGGAATCCCTCAGTCTATGTAGGCTAACTACTCACTGAGAGCTGGAGACTTGTGCAGTCAGGGATGAAACCTAACAACCCTGCTCCCTAGATTTGAACTGCTGATCTTTGAGCAAGTTCAGCAGCTCAGCGGTTTAACCCACTGCGCCACCAGGGGCTCCTTAAGATACTCAAAACCAATCAGTCCTGTAGGGGAGAGAGAATATTCCTGCAAGGGATAGATAATATGGCAGTGTGGAAGAGGCCTGAAGTTACAATTTTTGTAGGTAAACTCAGTATTTGAAGTTACAATTTTTGTAGGTAAACTCAAAAGAAACCTAAGGAGGAAATAATATAAATGTTAGCTTGAGATGAACAACCTTTGGGACAAGCAAGACATTCAGGTTTTGAGAATTGGAAACCTGCCCCTCACCCCTCATCAAAACACGGCAGTTCAAATTGGGTCTTAATTCCGAGATACCATTGGGATGGCAACAACAACAACAGTAGGGTTTTCTGAGTGAAGTCACAATGGATTTTCTTGACCAAGGTCATCCAGTAGATTTTCATGGTTGAGCAGGGATTCAAACCATGTTGCTCAGAGTTGTAGTCCAAAATTCAAATCACACTATGTTGTCTTATCTGGTACATGCATGTAAAAGCATTGTTCAACAATACGGATCATGGATTGAAGGTGTCAATGGTTTAGAGCAGTGTTTCTCAACCTGGGGGTTGGGACACCTGGGGGAGGGGGTCATGAGGAGGTCTCAGAAGAGTTACCAAAGACCATAGGAAACAGTAATTTTTGTTGGTCATGGGGTTCTGTGTGGGAAGTTTGGCCCAATTCTCATTGGTGGAGATCAGAATGCTCTTTGATTGTAGGTGAACTATAAATCCCAGCAACTACAATTCCCAAATGTCAAGATCTATTTCCCCCAAACTCCACCAGTGTTCGTGTTTGGGCATATTGAGTATTTGTGCCAAGTTTGGTCCAGATCTATCATTGTTTGAGTCCATGGTGTTCTCTAGAAAACTCAAGGTCAATGCCCACCAAACCCTTCTAGTATTTTCTGTTGGTTGTGGGAGTTCTGTGTGCAAAGTTTGGTTCAATTCCATAGCTGGTGGAGTTCAGAATGCTCTTTGATTGGAGGTGAACTATAAATCCCAGCAACTACAACTCCCAAATGACAAAAAATCCCCCCCCCAACCCACCAGTATTCAATTTGGGCATATTGGATATTTGGAGCCAACTTTGGTCCAGTGAATGAAAATATATCCTGCATATCAGATAGTTACATTCTGATTCATAACAGTAAAATTACAGTTATGAAGTAGCAACGAAAATAATTTTAAGTTTTGGGGACGTCACAACACGAGGAACTGTATTAAGGGGTCATAGTTTAGAGTTCTTTCTCTCTCCCCCCACCTTCCATCGACGCAGCCTCAGGGACGCCGCAAGACCCCCATTGTTTTCAGAGTCGATGGAACACAACATGGCTTGATCACAGAGATCTATGAGGCTTGTTAAGATGGTGAGTGACATGACGCACTAGATTGCCATGATATAGGGTGAATTTACCCCTCTCCAGCTCACAGATATGATTAGCGCGAAGGAATCGTGTCCCAAGACCCTCACTTGGAACGTAATATGGAAAAGTGAAACTCTATGCACATAAGAAACAGGAACTATACCCCAATATCCACGCACTGGTTCCGAGGAGACTCCTGGCTTAGATTTGTTGAGTCTCGGTTGGAATATGATTATGCTTGCATGGATAGTTATGTTGTGTCTTTGACTTGTTATTTGTATATCTGTCGTTCACTGATGTTCTGTTTGGCATCGGTTTGTACAGGAGAACATATAATAGTAGCCATGCATAGAGGCTCCAACACACACCACCCCACGAGCCTGCGCATTGGGGGATCGGATGATGGCAAGATATAAGAATAAAGTTGTTGTTGTTATTATTATTATTATTATTATTATTATTATTATTATTATTATTTACTGTGCCATGAAGCACTTTCCCACTACTATGTAAGATATTTATTATTTATTTATTGACTTCATTTATACCCTGCCTTTCTTCCCCTCAGGGGACTCAAAGCGGTTTACAACTCCAGTACAATTAAATACCAGTAAAATCAACAGTAAACAATAACATACCCCCTCCATTAAAACAGTTAATAATTCAGCAATAAAGACATTAAAGCAGTAAACAGATTAAAACATATAAAGTGTATAGTTCCATTCTTCCAATATCTTTGTTCATAATTCATATTCAAACTGTGTTGAATTCGTCGTCACTTATTCTTCGAATGCTTGTGTGCAAAGCCATGTCTTTAACTCTTTTTTCTAAAAACTAGAAAGGATAAGGCCTGCCTGATGTCATTGGGGAGAGAGTTCCACAGCTGAGAGGGCACCACTGAGAAGGCTTATACACAGTTAGTACACAATTACTATAGTAACCATTCATTAGCGTCTCATCACTAAAATTTATTTATTTATTTATTGCAGTTACTTATACCCCGCCCTTCTCACCCCCGAGGGGGGACTCAGGGCGGCTTACAAACAAAGGCACAAATTCGATGCCTGTCAAAATATACAGCATATATAAAACAGTATAAACATTTAGCAGCATTAAAACACATCACTACATAATATAATAAAAACAGTTTCATGCACAGTGAAATTCAGAGTTCCGAAATGTCCATTCATTCCAACAATTCCTGCTCATCAATGGGTCCTTATTTTAGCTGCCAGAATGTCCAAAAGCTTGGTCCCAAATCCAGGTCTTCAGCTTTTTTCTGAACGACAGAAGGGAGGTCGCTGATCTGATCTCCCCGGGGAGTGAGTTCCATAGGTGAGGGGCCACCACCGAGAAGGCCCTGCTCCTCGTCCCCGCCAACCTCACTTGTGATAAAGGTGGGGTCGAGAGCAGGGCCTCCCAGGAAGATCTTAGACTCTGGGGTGGGACTTAAAGGGAGATCCGTTCGGACAGATACACTGGGCCAGACCGTATAGGGTTTTGTAGCTCAAAACCAGCACTTTGAATTGTGCTCAGAACTGAATCGGCAGCCAGTGGAGCTGACAACAGGGGGGTTGTATGCTCCCTGTACGTCGCTCCGGTGAGCAATCTGGCTGCTTCTCGCTAGACTAGTTGTAGTTTCCGAGCAGTCTTCAAAGGCAACCCCACGTAGAGTGCGTTGCAGTAATCCAGCCGGGATGTGACAAGAGCGTGGACCACCGTGGCCAGATCAGACTTCCCAAGGTACGGGCGCAGCTGGCGCACAAGTTTTAATCGTGCGAAAGCTCTCCCGGCCACCGCTGAGACCTGGGGTTCCAAGCTCAGCGATGAGTCCAGGATCACTCCCAAGCTGCGAACCTGCGTCTTCAGGGGGAGTGTAACCCCGTCCAACACAGGCTGTAACCCTATGCCCTGTTCGGCCTTACGACTGACCAGGAGTACCTCTGTCTTGCCTGGATTCAATTTCAATTTGTTCGCCCTCATCCAGACCATCACAGCGACCCTGAACCACAACATGGACAGCCTCCTTGGTGATAGGTGGAAAGGAGTGACAGATTTGGACATCATCTGCGTAGAGATAACATCTCATTCCGAAACTCCGAATGATCTCTCCCAGCGGCTTCATGTAGATGTTAAATAACATCGGGGACAGAATTGAACCCTGTGGGACTCCACACAACAACGGTTGTGGGGCCGAACAGGTGTCACCCAGTAACACCTTCTGGGACCGTCCCTCAAGGAAGGATCGGAGCCACTGCAATGCAGTGCCCCCGAGCCCCATGTCCATGAGGCGCCCCAGAAGGATACCGTGATCGACGGTATCGAAGGCCGCTGAGAGGTCCAGCAGAACTAACAGGGACACACTCCCCCTGTCTAGTTCCCTGCGTAGATCATCTACCAAGGCGAC